CGCTCAGGGCGGCATCCACAGCCCAGGAGGAGCTGCCCCATCGCTTGTTATTGATGTTCCAGTGCAACTGGACAGGTCAGGGGGATTTCAGACCGTTTTTATTGGGAACAGAACAGCTGCTTAAATAAAAGTTTCAGTATTTTCACATTATAACATCATCTTGAACTGAAAAGAATTGTTTTTTTTTTCTTTCCTGTTCCCTAACACATCAGCTATCATTAAAAAAAACAAAACCACACAAAATCAACCAACCCCAAACCCCCTCACTTTCAAGTCTCACTGTCACGCCACACATTCAGAGTCCACCTGAGGACAGCTGCAGGCACAGAGTCCGTAGCCCCCACAACAATTTATTCTGCCCAATATAACAGTCGCCTGAACCATTTACCAAAAAAATTCCTTTTTACACCAGCAAAAACTTCCTCGCTGAAGGACGAGCTTGGTCCTGTAACAAGTCACCTAGAATTCAGAAACATTTAATTAATAGATCCTCCAGCAAAAAAACAAAACTGAACTTCTCCTTCTTGCATTTTTCAACACATCATTTTAATAAAAATACATAAGCTGCACTTCTCAGGATCAGAACATTCTTTTCTGCATCAAATTCCTTGAAGGTGACCTTTGTAGGTCTTGCATTCCTTTTCTTATGCAAAGAATTCTAATTATTTTGCTCCTTACATTGCAGCTGTAATTAGTCTAACCTGGAATTCGCCAACATCTGGGAGTTCAGTGAAAGATGAAGAACACATTAGCGTAGAGCAGAACAGCTGCCCACAAAGAGACTGGGACTCACAACAAAGTTCTCTATGAAATCTCTCCAGAAGTCAAATATACTTAAGTCAACCATGTTGAGGAAAAAGCATTCGCTAAGGATCCAATGCTCATTATTAATTAACAAAACCCAGCAGTTCATGTTCAGGTAACTAAGAAAGACCAAAGCTGGAATTCCTCATACCAGCAAACACTCCTCCAGGCCTCTCTGCACACCATCTAAAAGCAAAACCAGGCGAACACTCGATTACAAAAAACCTCTCCATAGGTCCCTTCAAGAGTAAACCTCTATTTTTCTTGCAGTTAAGCTATTACAGCCTCAATAATACACAAACCCTTTCCCCCAAACCATAAACACGACGGACCTGACTAACACTGAGGCATTTGTAGGACATATTGATGACTACCTGGACGATGGAACCAGTCTTGATGGCTCCTCTTCACTGAACGCAAGCCTCTGCCTTGCATCGCTTTTCTTGGTTTCATATATCCATCAGTTCAGATCTTTTAAATCATCTGAAGAGATTCGCTGTTCCCAATCTGCCTTTCAGACAGTCTGTCCTCCACCAGGCTCGAGTTATAAATATTTACATGGAAACACAGTGGTTATCAGCATCACGAACAGTAGAGCACAACCAGCTGCTGGGCTTAAAAACATGCAAGGGTTCACAACAACGCAGCAGCCTGTCTTCAGAGACCAGGTGTGTGACTCATACCTACCATTTCCCTTCAGGAAAAGGAAAGGTCACAATGGATTCAGAGCAGTAATACAACACAAAGGCTTACTGGCAAAAAGACACTGGTTAAATAAACTTTATCGGGATCTTGAGAAATGGGTACGGTATGGCTATGGTTCTCTTAGAAAGCTGTGGAAGGGATACTAATGAAAGCACACGTTAAAATGAGTTATTACAGTGATCAGACATTGCAGTCATTTGCTCTCAACAGTACTTTTATGAGACGTTTATATAGTCAATAATTAAATATAAAATCAAGGATGAGTGTCACAAACCAAAGAAATAATGAGGCTTGAAGCCCAGTCAGTCCCAAGATTACCCTTCTAGTTGCTGTACCTTTCATTTTACCTTTAATTTTACATGCTGCTGTTCTTACACATAACAAAGCAATAAGAAAAGTTAACTGCAGATTCCTTGCTGTTGTGAAGCCTCAAACCTACTTCAACTTAGTACAAAAACAGGGGGGGAAAAGAAAGAGAAGACATTTGTTAAAAAGCAGAAAGGGGAAGAGATATTCATAGACATTTTGGACTAACAGAACCTAGGAAATAGGGACAATGCAAACAAATTTTCAGACTATCAAAACGTAGCAGGCAATGTTTTTGCTACCTGTTCTGTTTACCAGAATGTGATGTGCTAGCATTATTCCTTATTTAGAATTATTGGCAACCAAAATAAACACCATAGGCAACAAGAAAAAATTGCAGCTGCACACTGATCAAACCTTTTTCCTACCTAGAGAGGGTATAAGGGTAAAAAAGCTGAATGTAACAAGTCAACCATGTGCACATCCACATGTACTATACCATAAGAACATCCAAAAATATTGACAAGACAGTGATCCTATAGTTTTCCTTTTCTCTTTCAGTTATATATATATATAGTTAAACAGCACATAGGAAAACACCACTATAGCTTTCACCGTGGCCAACAGGAAAATTCTGACAAATATAAAAATGTATGGTTTTAAACCGTTAGATTTCTTCAAAACATAATACAGATGAAATAAAAGAAATATAATTTCTCATCATGTAACAAAAGAAAACCCAACCTTAAACCCTTGGGAATTTGCACAGTCCTCAAACATCCAACTTTGCAGTCTTGAACATCTCAATCCCTACTACAGCAGAACATACTATCACCAAAATAAATGAGCAGAATTCCTTGAGCGCAGCGATGCTACTTGGATACTATGTGAAATTTCACTGTACTAACCATGTAACTTAGATTTACATTCAGTATTTTGGAGGAAGGGAACATGATAGCCCCTTTATGCTTTATCCTTCCTGGCTGTGTACCCAGGAAGCATTATTGTTATTACTTCAAAAGGAAAGGAAAGGTGCTGGTAAGAGCCAGAAGGGCAAGGCAATGATGTTGACTAAGAAATGCCCTGTTCTTTGGATGAATTGTGTAAAATACTTTGTTAAAAGGCTCCATGTTAAAAATATTAAGAACAAAAAGGTTGTCTTAAAAATACAGAGCATTTCTGCCTCTTAAGTTCAACATTTGGGGAAGAGTGTTTTGCTAGACTTAACTATAGGTTTGCTGTAATAAACATAGATGACAATGCCCCACATAACACAGGGCCAACCACAGACTCCAGACAAACATGATTGCTTTAGGTTTCAAGTGGTATGCGTATCTCTATTTTTGTATAAAAGGAACAGAGACACTTCTGGAACCTTCACTGCAGAGTCTTTGCCAGTGTCCAGCTTTAGGGCAAACGAAATCTTGCCACACTGCAGAGTCACAATCTTGAGGATCAGAATGTAAAAACAATCACGATTCAGTGTCTGACCCCGAACTGCTTTCTCGGCTGATTTCAATTTGTAGAGACGGTAAATTATCCAATCGACTCTTTTTTTGCCGAGACTGTTCTTTTTCCTTAATGAGAGCACCCCAAACCCGCTGCAGCTCTGAATCATCTTCCTCTGGAGATGCCACAGAGTTTTCAGGTTTATCTGAAGTCTTTTCTTGCGTCTTCGGAGCAGACCCTAATCGGGTCCATAAGTTACCTAATCAGTAGAAAAACAAACATCTTTTTAAAAATAAAAAAGACAGGACTAAGAGGAATTCTGGAGGGAGTCTGAGGAACCTAGTCTTAAATTCACTGCATCTCTTTAAACTTCTGCTCCTCCCACCTTAACATTTGTCAGGGAACTTACTATTTTTGAAGCAGAAGTTGAAATGGAAACATGGGAAGCTCAGTGCAGTCTTGTTCACTGCTCCCCATTTGCACAGAATGCTACGTACAGGTCTGAAGTGCCACTGCACTCATTGTTTTAGTGCCCTGTTTTGACCACAGTTTTAAAACAGTCCTCTACTTTTATGCACACCTATATAGAATATTGCTCGTAAAAATACTCATCTCAACCTACCTACTCATACTTACTACTAATTCGTCTTTAATTTCACTCAGCTGAACATCCTTCATGATTTTCTGATGAAATTTATACTGTAAAAATCACAAGAATTGCGGTATTGCATTTTCTGCATAAAACTAACCTGATTTCTTCTCTCTGGTATCAGAGTAGAGTCCTTTGACATCTTGTTTGGGGATTCCTAACCGGCTGTGTACATCTGATATTGGTTCTCGACGAGGAGCAGAGGTACTACTTGGAGGTTTAATTTCTGGAGAGTGTGGTCTTTTTCCCAGCCTTTGCCGCACATCTAGGGATATTTTCAGTGATTAGAATGACAAAAATCATGTTGCATTTACTCTAGTTCTGACAGATAATTTTATGTTCATTCACAATTTTTACAACTTGAAACTAAACAGATTCTCTGTTTTTATATTTTCTGGAGTCTTTTCATTTAAGTCTTTCATACTCAGATTTCAGTCCTGGCAATGTCTGCAATACAATTTATCCAGATTTCATTTTTCTTTTTTTTTGGCAATGAATTTGACATTGAATGTTTTCAGGTTGTGCTCTGTCCAGAAGATCAAAAAAGTAAATTATTTCATGGCTTGCTGCATTCCTGTTTTGGCAGCATAGCGTGTACATATCCAGCGTGACGTACAATTATAGAAAAATTGGTGTGTCTTAAATGGTCCTTTTCAGATAATAGATACCTTGCTTTAGAATTCTAATACTGCTTGATATTTGGCAGAATAAAATGAAAACCAGAATATAAGAATCCTAAATATATCGATACTTAACCCATAATGTGAGTGTTCCATTCTGAAGTTTTGTCTGGTTTAGGCAGATATCCCTGTTCTTAAAGAAGGTTCAAACAAAAACATAAAGTGAAGGAAGTCACAGGATTTATGTGACAACTTGTCAGAAATTCAAAATGGACAGGAGGGGTAAAATATACTAACATAACTTCTACATAACGTTGATACAAAAGAGAATCTTTCACTTATCAGTCAAGATAATCCTCTGGATAGTTAGTATGTCAGAAGTAGCTGAAATTACACACACCCGAGACAAAAAAGCGACAGTCCATTAGGCCCAAAAATAAACCCTGCCAATTGAAAAAAATGGGTCCATATTCACAAAATACATGTTCATTCATGTAAGTAGCCAGTCACAATTCTGCACAAAAGAAGAGTTTAAAATTACCTGATTTTACAGTGCTGTTTGGCTGACGTGGCCCAGTATTATTCTGACGTTTTTCTTCTAACAGTAGTCTTACATCTGCAACTTTCTCTGATGATCCTTTACTTCCAATACGATTTTTGATGCTACTGGTTGTTATGCTATCTGCTCGCATGGAATTCCTGAAAAAAAAAAAAATAGATTTAACGTCCCTTAAATGAAATGAAATCTTGTATAGTTCTTAAGTCTTCTTGTACGTAAAATGACATCAGAGAAAACCATAGCATTGGAATTTATCTCCTGAGAAACAGAGGTAAAAACATTACTTAGAAGAGCTGGTGTTCCAGTCAGAATCCTGAGTTTAGCAACAATCAAGTGACTACTTCAGTATCCATTTCAAGGCAGGCATCGAGTTTGTCTCCTTAAGGCTGTGTGTCTGGGTCAAAATTCAAAGCAGATAAGCAACCTCAAAACTGTTAAAAGACTTGACATTATAATGAAGTATAATCATATTACTGAAGGGACGCATGTTCAAGTTATTTTAATAACCTACAACATATGTGATTTTGGTTAATATGCCCATAATGAATGTAAATTCCTTTTTGTAATCAACACTTTTAAGGATTATTCTTCTTTCTGAGAAAAAATAAAAGAAGTTATTTCTCCCTGGCCTAGCTATGAAATGCGGGAGGTTAATTGTGCTTGCTTGTGTATATTTCTGTTGATTCCACTTTGAGTTTCATTATTATCAATAAGCAGGGTTACAGAAATCTGCAAAGGAAGCTATATTTTTAAAATGTCAATCGTAATTAAAAGGCTGTATCAGTGTTTTCTGTATTTTGTATTTCTTTTTAAAATATCTACTACAAGATTACGTTAGGCATTGAAAAAGTAGCTTCAACAGTTTGTCTCTAAGCTTTGACAGCTCTGTTGCTAATTAAAATTTAGAATGCCTTTGCACTGATACTTTTTATTAAAGACTAAGAAACTTTTACCTAATGTTTTTCAGTTGTGATTCCACCTCATCTGCATACATTGTCATTTTCATGCTCTTTTTGGGAGAGGGTGTTGATATCATTTTCAGTTCCAGATCATAGTCCATTTCATCAGAATCAGATGCACTAGCACTCGACCGTCTTGCTGCACTGCGGTCTCGGGCCTGTTTGAAAGCTTGCAGTTCATCACGGTACTCTACCACAACTCTGTCATCTTCATCCATATCCTGATCTTCTTCCTCCTCTTCCTCCTCCTCTATAGGCTCTTCAGGAACATTTACTAAGCCTGTAGCAAGACAAACTGATTCTGCTAAACTGGATTTTATCATTCATATAAAGTAATTTAAAACTAAGGCAAAAAAAAAAGACTGTAATTAATGTTCTACTACAAACTCTTAAACTGTGATTCAGTTATATCTAAATTTTTTAAAAGTACACTTCACTTTCATGCACTGCAGAGGATTACAGGAGGCATTTTTTAAGGTCCTTTCCAGCCCTCCATTCCCCAGTTGTGTTCTTACAGGGCTGACACACCGTCATCAGTTACCTGAATGACGATGTTTATAAGGAGGAGTCAAGCCAACATCATCCCCAATAAGTGTCCTTTTCTTTATCACATCCCGGTGAATTCGACGTGAATGGTATCTTCGTTTCCTGAAATACCATAAAAAAAATTACGTTCCTGTCACAGAAAAAGCATAATGAATGAGCCATATTCAGTCCCAGACGAAGCATATGGAATTACCACTCACTTTAACAGCAGACGTACATTTACATCAAAGATCTGTTCTGAATGTTCTGATTAGAAACATTCTTTATTTTCTTGACAAAATACTCCCCTTCCAAATTCGCAGTCACATTGCAAAAACATTATTTACACATAAGAAGCATCTACACAAACTGAATAAAAAAACCCCACAAATTAAAATAATTTTAGACTACCTTGTCCAGCTACCTGCAATGTTCCAGTTCCTCCATCCAATACTCACCAAGAATTGCTAAGAATCCCCTTCATGCCTCCATAATTCGGATTGCCATATTTCATGTAATACTGGCTTCGCCTTGCAGCTCCCAGCTCTTTTTTGTCATCTGAAAAAAACATATATTAAAGGAATATTTCCCTCTTAAAATAGATCTTACAACTCTAGTATAAAAATAAATAACCATCTAGTCAAAGACACGGAGACTGAAAGTAAGACTGAATATGTCTTACAGATCAGTGTTACTTCAATCTCCTTCACGAAGGATACAATTTTGCTGACACCTCTGAAATTTCTCCTACCACCACAGTTTTATTTGTGTCTAGAAACTTAATTCTAGAGAGACTGAGTTTCTACATATCAGCTTAACAGAGCATTACATCCCACTGTAACTGCTGGAGGCCATACTTCGTGACCTTTCTTTTCTTTATGGATGTGTCAATTCCCACATGGCCCAGAAATTATATGGGTTTTCATTTTACTCATATCTCAACTGTATTTAGCAATGATTTCCACTAATACTTCATCAGCATCTCAAATGATTTTCGTATTTATAAAACATTAAATTTATCTCTGTGGAGAAGGGCATCATAAAACCTATTCCATGGTATTGGGAAGAATGCCCTGAGCCCAAGATAAAATTTTTATGTACAATAATTTTCATACAACTTGAACTGGATTTAATTCATACATTAAAAGTGTATTTATTGCAAAATCCTAATACCTAATGATTATCAAAAAACCCTAACAATTTCACAAATTAGGTACTTCAAGTCATCAGTCAACAAATAAAACTACAACAAGCAATTCATCCATTATGCTTGTTAAGCTGTTCATTTACCTTTAGTAGCAAATCTCATGAATAGCTTGTTTCCTTTAGCCAGTTTATTGGCAGGGCGAAGATCATTACGCAGGAGAGAATCCTCTTCTACCTGGGAGAGGGCATCCAACTTTGGGGGGCAAAAAAGGTATTTTGGACTCAAAAATAAAATTACCATTGAATGAAAATGGATTGCTTACAGAGAAGCAATCAACTGATTATTAAGAAAGTTACTTTTCAAATTATGTTCAAATGAACTCTGCTTTTCTTCTCGACAAACTAATGTGAATTTTGGAAGTAATTTGCCCTAAGGATTTAAAATATTTCCTTCTCTTCCTTCATAACATTATCTCAGATTATTAAATCCAGTAATTTTCAAATGAAACTATACTACTGACTGAAATGCAGAAAATAAATAGACAACTCGGACATGGAAAAAAACCTGTTTGATTTTTTGCTTGTTTCATAGCTAAATGGTTTTACTAACAAATTCTCATGCCCTCACACAATGACTAACTAAAAGGCCTTTTTTTTCATTTATATCCGCTTCATACAAACTAAAATTCAGACTTCCATGATGTATGCATGTTCACTGAACCATTCCTAAAGCAAATAGTAATCTCACCTATTGTACATTCAGGCAGTGAAGATTAAATTACTTACAAAACATCAATGCCTCTGCTGATGCCCACACATAGCTCTGGACATCCTAAATCCTATCTGTCTCTTTCAGCACTGCCTTCACTGCTGAAAGGCCGTTGCCTTCCACCACTGTTCTTCCATGCCCCCCTCCCAGCAGGACAGACCAGCCAGTCTGGCTCTTATATGCTGGATGCCCTCCTGCTCTTCAAAATCTACTGTCACAAAACACTCTTACAGAGTTATTCTCACCAACAGCATACCTGCGCTTACTGTAATTTCCCCATCTAATTTACATTGTGAATTGCAAATATATATGGTTTATATATATATATACATATAAAAAAAACCTATAAAGTTATGAAGACTTTAAACCAGTCAGAGCAAAACTTTCATAGTAGTGTTTTCACTTTCCTTCTGTACTGACCTCAGCATCGCTCGGATTGTCATCCTCAACCTCGCCTTCTTCTGTCTCATCATCAGAACTTTCCTCCTGTTTCTCTAAGGTGGAAAATAATTGCAGAAAAAAAAAATCTCCATTTCAGTGTTCCAGTCACATTTGATTATTATTACCTACATTCTCTGAAATCAAACTGAAGGTGTTATCTTTCCTTCTGTGCAGCCTAGAGAATAATCAAAACAGTAAATGTCTAGAAATTTGAAGCACAGAATAACATTAACTAGACAGCCCCTGTGTAGATAGCTGCCTGCGGCAGCACACATGTATTATTAATTTCACTCTTTGAAAGCAAATGAAATTGCACTGCATTTCAGTACGACAGAGATCAGCAAGGCCAAGACTGTAGAAGGCACATAAAAGCCTATTTCCTTCAGCCTCCCTTCAAAATGCTGCAAGTACCTACAAGCATCCAATACTAACAATGTAAACCAGGCTATTATTCCAAAGCTTAGAAGTTTCTGAGAGAGAGTAGAAGGAAAAAAAAAAAAAAAAAACCCAAAACAAACCCAAAACATAGTGACTTAATTTTGAAGTGTAATAACTAAGAGAAGAGTGCATGCTTCCAGAACTACTATAGTTGTAAGATGCTTGCACAGATTTTTCAGGGTTCTTTTTAGCTCAGAGTAATAAAATCAATACTGGAATTCTTTTTTTTTTTTTTTCAAACAGTCCTCAAAAAAAAAAAAAAGTAGCAAACACAAACAACTATCAGCATATACCAATATCATTTTCAAAGATCTCAAAATACTTTATAGATATAAGAAAAACAACTTTTATATTTCAGAGTTCCTGATCTTAATTAATCTCATCCACCAATAGATTTGAAAACTTAAAACACAGAGCAGCAGCTGTTGAAAAGATCCTGACAATGCACCCAAGTTCAAAGAAAAGAGTAAAGAACAATTAACCAAACTGAAACCAAAGGGAGAATTTAGCTAAACAAATTAGCCAAATTAAAACCTGAATAACAAGGTTCCATCAGGGACAGCGTTCAAACACATTCTTTTTTCCCCCAAATGATAAGCTTCTCAGAGTAAAGACTAGTCTCTTGCTTCCCTAAATGTCAAAATAGCCCTCAAATTCCTGTCTAAGGAAGGAATGCAGCTAAGCCAGATTACTCCCGTGTATCTGTATGCATCTCACACCTTAAGCTGTAACTGAACAGTTTGTACTTTATCTAATATCCCACTTTTCCAGAAGAAGAGGAATAATTTAGATGATGGGTGTAATGATGATGTAATATGTAATTCGTAGCCAACAAGATAAATACATATATTTTTGCTCCATTTAAACAAGACAGTAGCTGATCTCCATAAACTTCATAACAAGTTTGACTTAAAGCATTATCAACATTTGCCCCAAAATTAAAGTCACACAGATGGTTGAGGAGCCACTGCATTGTGAAGAAAAGCAACAAGAAGAAAAGGGAATGAGTTGGAAGGATCCGCAAGTTTAACAAAGCCTTAAACTCCAAACCTTCTAGAAAGGCTTTTGGTAGCACTGCAAACATCTCAGAGACATTGGCCATTTGTGTTTTGTTCATACAGCGTGTTTAAGCAACAGCTATGGCAGAGTTAATCAATACAATACCTCTCCTTGCTTCGTACCGTGTGGTACTACACTTTGAACCACAGCAATTTATCACCCTAGCCTAACAGCAAAACAGCCCTAAGGTTGCAAGAGCCTGATTTTTCATTTACACTCATTAAAATAGAATAAATATAAAATTAGGCATTCAAGTACCAGATTTATCAAAACACTGAGATGTGCTTTTGCTGCTTTGGTCTTTTATAACCGACCTTTCTGTGTGCTTCTTTCTTGAAAGTATGATGGAGAAATGTATAGATGATATACAGTGGTGAGGTGTTCACATTTATGTGACATTCCATCGATAAAAGGATGGTGGTGTATCAAGAAAGGAATTAACTGTGGTGTTTCAAAAATAGGACATTTTCTTACGCCTGCTTTTTCCACACTTAGAATCCATCCTTTTACTGCCTTTGTATGCACATCACACAGACTTATTTCTGTGCAACATGTGCCGCTATGGGTATCGTATCTGAATATGACCCTGCATCTAACATTTCAGAATCAGCTGAATTACTGCTTTTGGTCTAGCTCCAACCCACCTTTTAAGAAGCAGCTTCTTCAAAAGGTTTCCAAGATGAAAGCCTTTTTTAAAGTGGCAGAATACATTTACCTGAAACTATACGATAGAAGCTCCTTCAGTAATTTAGATTATGCAGTACCCAAGCACAAGTTTAAAGTTTCATTGATTTAACTAGATGATGTCTATATATGCATATCTCAATCTACCTTTCTTGGGTTTTTCAGCTGTCTTCTCTTCATTGTTTTCTCTGCTTTTTGTTTTCTCCTGATCAGGCAAGGAACTCATATTTATTAGAGCCCGTGTTGCTGTTACTTCATCAAGCCAGACCACATTACCTATGACATATATAAACACATACAAAAACAAGATGCAGTTTGTATAATCAAACAGTCACATACACTGCTGTACTGGAAGGAAATTACTGACAAAAGTTCAGAAACGCTCTTATATAGTGACACGATAAAAAAGCAATCAGATATTCCTCCTGCAGGGAAAGTCATATTCTTGATAAGCTGGAGGACACACAGCTTTCATCACATGACAAAAAACACATGCAAGAACCAAAATAATTAAAATGCACAACCATAGATATTCGAGACTGCTTCTTGAGCACAGCAAATTAGGATATTTTATCAGGGTCAGTGTATTTGACGAATGCATTAGCACACAAATGCCATTAAGGGGGGCAGGGAGAAAAGAAGCCTTGATTTTTTTTCCCTTTGGCAATTTAACAGAACTTTGGACCTTACTGCAGAATTCTGTTAATGTTTTCCAAAAAGCAGGAAAAGAGGGGAAAGTAGGAGAGACTGCTCAAGCACTTTGCATAGATTATAGTGTACACTATATAGGTTAACAATATAATTCAGTGCATGCCTCATACATGCCTTCAGTGTCAGTAGGCGGTACTAAAATATAACTTATCAGGCCAATTAAAAGCATTTCACGGATGTCGAAATTGAGAGAGCAAAAACTGCTTAGAAAGAGGCTTTGAACAAAAGCTTTCTGCACGGATGCATTCAGTGCAAATACAGCTACAAATGTCATTTACTGCTCTGCCGTTAAGCAGAGTGTATTCAGATATCGAGAAAAATATACAGTATCCCAAAAGATTCTCTCAAATTACTTGAGCAGACAATATTTACAAGGTGAAGAACACTCAGATATTAATTTCCATGACTGGCTAATAACTTTTCATTTATGTATGCCTGCCTGCTCTTCACATCTCCAAATTTTCAAAGCCTTTATCATTCTATGTTCATCAGTTTGAACACAGAACACTGTCTAAATTCACTTTTGTGCTAAGACACCTTGAGATGTAATTCAGTTGAGAACATCAGAATTTTTGCCATGCTGTGACACAAATGTACCCTGAAAAGACAATGCTTTTTCTTGGTATTTCCACAAGGTTAGTTGTCATGCTAACTCAGATACAGCATGAAAATTAATGACTGAAAAATATGTTTTAACTATAACTGGGTAAAGTATTGTTATGACTCTGAAGCCTGAATTTTTGCACTAAAAGTTCACTCTGGTTCCATGCTAAATGTACTCATGGTACATTTAAGAAAAAGGATAATTGGACAGAAAAAAGGTAATCAGCCAATCTTAGAAATGCAGCCTCAGATACAGAGTTAAGCTGTGCACTTGCCAGCTTACGCATCACCACAGGTTCATCTAGCAGCTCCTTACTGCAATTGCCCTGCAGGGCTCATTGCGTTTCTGATCTTCTGTCCGCTTGTAGCAGTGTATCGAGCCATCGCACAGTGACTTCAAGGTTACGAGTATTCTGTAGTACACCTTATCTGTTCTCTTGCACTGGAACTGAACTCCTTCAGGGTCATTCCAGGGAGCCATGCTACCAATTCTCAGGTCTCAGCCATACTTGTCAATAAACCAGTTTCCACCAATCCCAATCCAAATGGAAAACCTGCACTGGCTCCTACTTCTTTTTATATTATTTCCATGACGGGCTTTCCAGCCACATGGCAATCTCAGAGCCTTCCAGTTCCACCATCCAGCACCCAACTGCAGCAACCAGCTCTTGTACAGTTTTTAGTATCACTGAGAAAGTGTGACTGTCAATAACCTTGTATCTTTCTGGCAATCTCACTGCATGCTTACTCCCTGGAACAGCCCTTGCAATATGCATTCCTCTTCCAATCTATGTAAATCACATTCAGCTGCTACCTCCTTCCACCCACTAATTTCTCCTTGTGAACACACTAAACAAATATGGCAACAAGTCTGCTCCTTCGCAGCACAAAACCACACCAACCTAACTGCACGCAGCTCAATAGCCTTCTTTCAGAAGATTTGTGACACTCACAAATAGCAGGTATACTATTTATGTCAAGATGTAAGCAGCACAAAATTTCAGACCTTTTTTTTCTTTTTTAATCACTCAGAGACCTCCAAGTTATTCTATGATATCTCTTTCCAATAACAAATACTCACCCAGACAGTGCGTGTGATTTTCACCATATGCTACTCTTTCCTTCTAAATCTCTTTTGACTAAGGCAAATGACAGGGAAACTGAGACAGACAAAGATCAGTGACTTTGAAAGCCACTAAGACATGTGAAGTACAGCTACGACTGATATTAAAAAAAGAGCAGGAATTACAGACAAAACACTTTGTTTACTTACATGATGTATCATCCAACCACTCAATATGAGCAGGAGGATACTCTTTGAAATAGGCAAAGATGTCCTGTGTACTCATCTCATCCACCCCACAAATGTAAATTGTGTCCAGTCTCACTTTGGGAATTGCTAAAAAGAGGAGGAAATACAAATACTTATTTCTATAAAGCAAGCTTTCATATTAATAACATATGGGTTTATAAAGCAAACATTTTAAATAAGCTAAAGGGAAGATAATTAAAGCAAAGTATGATGTACACCATTCCAAACCACCTGAACTTAAATTATTATTCCACAACGTTAAAGTTTAATAAGTATTAGTAGATGCAGGTACTGTATAGTGATCAAACCACCTTGAAAACATTTTTTTAAATGCCGAAGTACTACCATTAAGTACTGGAGAGACAGAATGCTAATGAGGCCTGCGACCAGGATGTGTACAAAGCACTTCCACTGTAACATCTGATGGAGAGCTGTTACAGGCCACGGCTTAGCAAGTCCAAGCTGCCAGGCAGAAAAAAAGCCTTGAGAACTAACTGGATGCCAAAAGCGCCAAGCTGTTGTGCAAACACCACCAGCTGATCTGCTTATACTCCAACATGCCCAGCTTGCCATCTAAGAGCACACACTAAATCAACCCAGCTTCATTCTGCGTACAGCACAGAATCGGATCTCCCTGTGCTTGGGAGACAGAGCCCTCCACTCGTACACAAACAGTGCTCAAGGTCTGGTCTTTCCCAAGAATTTAAAGATTCTTAAAGCAGCACTCATCAAGAAAATGAATCTCGGACCCACAGCACTAGGTGCTGTTGCCAAACAGTAAATAAGGTACACAAAAAAAATGTTTCCTTCTTCACAGGGTTGGTAAAACAAGGAGCGAAATGATAACTGTCAAGTAGTACAAAAAGTAATTAAATTAAAACAAAAAGGTGAAAAAAACCAAAAGTGATTTCTTTTGGCAATGACCTGGGAAGACCTCTGGGGATGCAGGAAGTATTATAGGATAAATTAAGTAAAGGAACTGTGAGGAAGTAAACAAAGGGATCTTTTCTTCTTGACTGTTGGATAAACTCATACCTTTCTTCATCATGTCCCGATCCAGTGCCACATTCCTTTGGGCGAGATTCACCTCAGCTCGAAAATGAAAGCGTTTTGCTCTTTGTTCCTTTTTCTCAATTGCTTCCTGCAAAATGCAAAACAATGCAAACAAAACAGGAATCGCAGCAGCATTCCCAACAAGTTGCACTGAAGATATTTAAATAAATTTTACCAGGCAGCAACAATCTATATAGAAAATTCTATTAAATCTGAAGAGACCTGTGAGTTTCAGAATGTAGAAATAATTCACTAAAACATTTCTGTGACACATAATAATTCTAATGTAGGTCCAGCAACACAATGGGAATCAAGATGCAGGGAAAACAAGCTCTCTCGGACAATGCTCAGACTCCATGATGGAATAGTAACATTATCTTTTCCTTCCTAGCAAACGCACAAAGTGCTCAAAAAAAGTTCTCTTAAAACAAGCATTTCCACCACATGGAACATGTGTCTTTTAAGATTTCAGAGATCTTTACTTTTAAATATATACAACAATGTAAACTTGTCTTTCTGAGCGTGAATTTAACAACACTAGCTGGAGTGCTGACTACAGAGATCTTATTTAGACTGGCAATTCAAGCTGCTTTTAAGTAGCTCACGAGCAACAGCTTATGTGGATCTTGTGCAATTTTTGAAACTGACCAACCTCTGTATTCTACAGAATTTATTAGGAAGCATTACAGATTTTTGGACCTTACTGACCAAAGTCAAATTTGGAAGTCAAACTCTGATTAAGCAAAAACTGCCACAAACAATATGCAAAGAAACACGGGCTTTACACTAGTTTTTAAAGATTGCCAAAACACCTTTGGCTGCATTTCTTAAAGCTTTTCAAAGCTGTATCGTTAAAGAACACAACAAAAGATTATGCTTTTTCCTCCACTACCAAATGCTAGATACAGTGGTCCATTGTACAATCTGAAACAACAGACAATCTGGTTTTAAATGTAGAGAGGTGAGCTACAGGATTAAATCTATGAAGTTCCATAGAATTATGTAACTTTAAGTTATTTAAATGCAACAGCTGTTCACATTCTTCAAACTATGTCTCAAATAACTAAACAATAAGATGCCCTTGGAAGATACAAGGCTGTGAAACTAGATTTTCCTGCCAAGCACTTGATCTTCCTTCTATCACTCACCTACGAGGAAAAAACTCAGCTGACTTGTCACAAACGGCTTTGTTTTGCAATATCAAGTGGCACTAAGGCAATCTCAATAGAAAAATTGTCAGGTTTTGGCACGCAAATTTGTGTAACTTAAAAATTATAACTCTTACAATTTACAAGAGATATCCTGTCCTCATGCAGGCCACAACCAACAAAAGAAGAATTCCTAGTTGCTGAAAAATGCCAGCTGTCTAAACATGAGGCTAAGCTTCTGTGCAATACTGGGGAAGAAATAAACGAAATGGTTCCTTCTTTCCAGCAGTAATAATTAGAATATCTTGAAGAACCATAGCACAGAAATTACCTTGGAGGTTACATCTATTCCAGTAATGAAACTTCCAGCTTTGTTTTCATATCTCCTACTAGTGTCCTGAAAAAAAGCAAAACAGCGGTGAAATCTCAATGAACACTGAAAGCAATGTACTTGCTACGCTGATAAAAAAATCTGGCCATTTCTGTGAGAAATACATCCTCCTTTCCTTGCTGTTACTCCAAGCTACATCCCTTGATAGACCGGTACACAGGCAATAACGCTCATTGATGTCAGTGAAGGTAAAGCATATAACTGAACCAAGCTTCCTTTACTATAAGGACTCTTTCCTTCAGCAAAATTTAATTTCTGTGTGTGCCACTGCTATAGTTTTTACTTACTCTCTCTCAGCAACACAGAGAAAGTCATCAAACACCTTTCCTAACTAAAATTTCCACTGTTTTGGTTTCAGGTACAATTTCTTTGTAAAACATTAACAGATTTAACAGTTATACCTGACTCCTGAAGTGTCAGTTTGTAACTTTTAGTCTCAAAAGTCAGAACAACAAGCCATATCCACAATTAAACAAGTAGCTTTTACCCCTATTCCTATCAATATTTCAAAGCCAACTTTCAAATACCAGCAAGGTGAAGTATTACTGGCTTGATACAACCCTACTGGTAAAGGGTAAGAATGGAGAATGATGTGGGAAAAAAAAAGTTTCATTTCCATCAGTCAGGACTGCTGAATTCACAAAACTGCACTAAACTACACAGACCCTGGACCAATAACTCAATTCCGTCCCTTCCACGGCTTGCATATGTAAAAATGGCACCTCTTCATTCAGGCACCCTCAGGACCATCACCTGGCAAAAGTCTGAAGCTGGAAGAACACAGCTTGCTTTCTCTAGGGATAAACACGTTCTTTACACTTGTGCTGCAATAACTACTTCGGCTAAAGGACTTTTTCTAGAAAGTAGGCCAGTGTCAGTTTAGAAATACCAAAATACACACAATCTAACTGCTTTTCTTAGTAAAACCTCAAAGTTCCTCTAAAGCTGCAAAGTGTTTAGAGTTCCTAGAAAGAAAAGTAAAATCTAAATAAGCATTATTTTTAAAGTTAAAGACCCCCACTGTCTAAGGTTGACTCATCAAGCACAAGGAAGCACAGGAAGGTGCTGTGTCTTAGGCCACATATTTGGTAGAAGCTCAAGCATGTTGGTAAATCAGCTAATTAGAGATTAGTTTCTGCAGTAATTTCCACACAAGTTTTGAGAGCAAAAGACTACTTAGAAAGTTAGAAGAACTCTGACCCATTTTTATGTATTAAACTTGATCCTATCAAAACTTGTACAGGAACAATTAGCAAAAGCTTAAAAAAGAAAAAAAAAAATCGAAAGGAAACTGTCAAAGCCCACTCATCAGAGCCCACATTCCCAGTGCCTCCAACCCAGGGTCACTCCCCTGCTCCCTACTCTAAGGATTCCCTCCTTTCCCCCCCACAGCCTGCCCCTACAGCCCCCCACTACCCCCGAAATCTTCTTCTCCACCACCTCCTTTAT